CCATTTAATGGATTTGGGGCCTTTGTCAAAGATCAGCTGACTATAGGTCGATGGATCTATATCTGGGTTCTCAATTCTATTCCATTGGTCTATGTATCTTTATTGACTCCTTTTAAAGAAACCTTGTCTTTTAAAAAATAATTTCCTCCTGACCTTTTCCTTTACATTCTCTTTCTGGAGGATTCTGTCAGACGGTGTCTGCTGAGCTGACGGCTGTGTCTTGGACCCCGTCTGCATATTCTCAGAGCTCTTTCCTGGCCCTTCCGTCAGAGGGTGGGTCCCCTGAGCTGACCATTATGTCTTGGACCCCGTCCATGTTCTGAAAGTTCTTTCCAGGCCCTTCTGTCACACAAGGGTTATAGAGTCTCCTGAGCTGACGGCTGTGTTTTGGACCCAGCCTGCATACTCTCAGAGCTCTTTCTAGGCCCTTCTATCAGATAGTGGGTCCCCTGAGCTGACCGCCGTCCGTGTCTTGGACCCTGTCCTCATATTCTTAGAACTCTTTCCAGGCCCTTCTGTCGGACAGAGTCCTCTGAGCTGATGGCTATGTCTTGGACCCCGTCTGTGTATTCTCAGAGCTCTTGCCCGGCCCTTCTATCAGACAGTGGGTCTCCTGAGCTGACGGCTATGTCTTGGACCCCGTCTGCGTATTCTCAGAGCTCTTGCCCAGCCCTTCTATCAGGCAGTGGGTCCCCTGAGGTGACCACTGTACCTTGGACCCCGTCTGTATTCTCAGAGCTCTTTCCAGGCCCTTCTGTCAGACAGTGGGTCCCCTGAGGTGACGGCTATGTCTTGGACCCCGTCTGTATTCTCAGAGCTCTTTCCAGGCCCTTCTATCAGACAGTGGGTCCCCTGAGGTGACCACTGTACCTTGGACCTCATCTGCATTCTGAGAGCACCTTGGTGTTCTATCAGAGACCTCCCTGGCAGCATCCTACGCCACTTTGTCCTAGAACGCCGCTCCAGTCTCTGAATCCACACACAGTATTGGCAGCTCTCTGAAAGTTGAATGTGGCTGCTACCTGGATTCTGTGTCCTCTCACCCCTGAGTTTGCTCCTTCTCCCGTGCATGACGGGCTCCCTGCACCCCCAGGGTTCTCCGGTCTGGCGGCATTTACCATGTACTGAAGAAGAGCTGGGACTCCGGGTTTGAGAGGGGAGTCCTGCTTTCCTGCAGCTGCTCGGGTCTGGTTGGCGATCGGTGCCTGCCCCCTACATACCTCCCTGCTCTCTCTCTTTCTCTGCCCCGGGGGTCTGAATGGGCAGTGTCCCCCACCAGTTCTCCCTCTGGTTACCTGGGTAGGGAGCTGTCTGTCAGGACCCAGGCTCTGTTCTCTCATGTCAGAATCCCGAGGCCTTAACTTGGGGTGTCTCCACTCACCCCGCCATCCTGAGAACCTCCCATATCCTGAGTCCTCAGGGCGGGGCTGTCCAGATAGGAATGTGAAGCTGTGGGAGCACTGCTCGTGAGGTGGAGTGATGGCCAGGAGATGTGGCAGCGAGCTGTCCAGAGCCCTTCATG